ATGACAAGTTGTTTGTTTTTGATGAAGTTGCTTTTGGTATTATTATGAAAATCTAAGATTGATAATAGGAAAAAAGTGACAAATTGATAAAATCCCACTCAAATCTCAATGCCTTTATGGATAGAAAAACTCCTTTAAGGCTTATCAAAAGTCAATAGTAGATTTTAAGTTGGATAAATGATAGATGTCATAAGCCCACTAATACGGGTCGGATCAATAGGGGACAAATTGTTTTCACTTTCCCTATTACTCTAAAGCCACCAAAACTTTATTTTTGCATTCCAACTTAGCATAATATGAAAAAGAAATTAAAAGATGTATGTAAATTATATTTTACAATGTAATTTGTTTTATTATTAACAGTTTAACATCAAGGCGTCCATCGAACTCAATTCATGTTGAAACGAATAAGAACGTGTGTATAGAAATTTATATTTGAACCGTAATATATATTCAATACCTCGTAGGCAGTGGCGGAGATAGGGATGGGCTACAGCCCATCCTTGTCCAAGCCCAGCTTCTCTAAAAGAAAAAAATAGTTAAAACCCATTTTTTTCTAGGGTTATTGGCCCACCATTGTCCAAGCCCAGCTTCTCTAAAAAAAAATATAGTTAAAACTCATTTTTTTTCCAATGTCCAACCCAGTAAACCTCGTACCCTTCATTTTTGGCTCCTCCCCTGCTTGCAGGGGATGAGTAAATGATGATTTTCTTATTATGAGGTTAGCATCTCAAGAATTTAATATTGAGACTCAATTTAGTCCATCCAATTTATCGTGAAATGTAAAGGGAATAATGATATGGTGCGTTGAATTAAACCTCTTAAATGTCCAAAGTTCGATATTAAAATAATTTCGACCAATCAACTTTGGATTAATTTAAAAAGTGGAATTATAAAATATAAAACTATCAATAGTTGGTAGATTTTTGGAAAGTATATAATGGCTGTAGACACATTTTGTTGTTTAAGTGGAACCAATAGTCTTAATTTTCTATTTAGTCCTGCAAATAGAATTGCATTGTCTGTGATTAAAATGGATTCGATTCGTAGTGAAATACACATGTACCACCCAAATTGGTTTTGCTCCAACGGCACTAGAATTGAGTGAGGCTTTGTTACAACTTTTTTTTTTTAATTAAAGATAAATTTACATTAAGATATTATAATTATATTAACGGGTATTTTCATGAATGCTCATTTTCAAAACCTACTCAACTACACGGATATTCATCATCTGCACGTTTTTTCTGTCGTGTCTATCTATTCGTCAATAGATACAGACGCACCTGTTACATCTTCTTTGTGCTTACTCGTACACATTTGTGATTCTATTGTCTAGATTGTTGACTACAACACCAATAATTGAAAGAGATTGCAATATGTGATCTACTTCAAAACAAATTATAATTACTTAAAATTTTTGATGAGAAAAAAAGGTTTAGATCATCATCTAAAGTGGGTCTTTCCTAATTCAACTAAAATGGATTGATAACAATGTGTTATTTTGAATTTAAATTCACCCCATAAACCTTAACCACGACCTTGATGTAACAATTATGAATTTAAATCGTAGAGTATGACGAAGATTATGCAGAAGTTACAAAAGTGAGGAAAATATTGTATTGTCAAGTTTTCTCAACTAATAAAGTCGTCTTCTCTTGTGATTGTTGACAAATTGTCGAACCATGTTAAATTCATATTTTCTCTCTTTTGTATTTGTTCCATCTTTTATGTTTTCGATGTTGATGAGATTTCCCCCCAACATGAATAGCTTGTCACTTTTAACCTTTTTAACATTATCTTCAGGCAAACAAGTCATTTCTCACTTTTCCGGTACCTAGAAGTGGATCTACAACACAAATGAGTCGCCTCGTTTACAATAAAAGCATACATACACGACTTGTTGATACTATAGCACAATCGAGATTATAGGGACATGCCTTTTAACGTGCTAAACTCAAGGTAGATTGGGCAAAAAAAATTTACTACTTGTGATCGAAACGATACTTTTTATTTATTAAAACTGACTTAAAAAATATAAAACCCTCCTCAAAAGAATTTCTTTATTAAAAAGAAATACTTTTTATTAAATAATATTCATATGCAATTTATTTAGTTTCATATATAGATGTTCTAAAGACAGGAAATAGAAAGAAAATAAAGAAGATCATAGAAGTAGAGACTTACGTCGAATTTGATTTGTTGATTGATCTTTTTATCACCTTTTCCCTTTGAATAATTGATGCTCCCAATAGCAATTCCACTTGGTGAGTATGTAGTATACCTTGGATTTTTATTATGCTTTAAGAATAGTCTTTGACTATTTAATAATTAGGCCAAACATTGTACAAATTAAACTTACACCCTAAACAAGAAAGTATAAATCAACATTATTGATCGTGTATTTGTGTGTACAAATGTACGTACATAT